ACAGGAAGAGCACTTCCGGTCACTGCCAATTGCTGGGTGGGAGACTAGTCTCCTGGTTTAGCAAGAAACAGAATTCAATCTCAACTAGCACTGCTGAAGCTGAGTATATTGCTGCTGGAAGTTGCTGTGCTCAATTACTCTGGATGAAGCAACAACTCAAGGATTATGGAGTGCAAGCAAAGGAGATCAAGCTGTTGTGTGATAACACAAGTGCCATTGCCATCACTCAGAATCCTGTGCTGCATTCAAGAACCAAGCATATCGAGATCAGACATCACTTCATCAGAGATCATGTGGAGAAGAAGCACATCTCAATTGAGCATGTCCCAACTGAAGACCAGCTTGCAGATATCTTAACCAAACCTCTCTCAGAGGCAAGGTTTAACAACCTAAGGGAAGAATTGGGAATGATGGATGATCTTCCCAGAGATTCTTAAATCAGAGTTGCAGAGGTATCAGATGGGGACTCATCAGAACACTCCATCTCTGATACCCGAAGCTCTTATTCATCAGAAGCTTGAACCAGAATTGTAAGGATCAGACTCTGTATTCATCAGAGGTCCTCGTATCAGAACATCTCTATCTCTGATACAAGGGCTAGTATTTATCAGAGTGGCTGTGGACTTAGAAAAAATTTCTAAATTTCGGGCGAGACTATTCAATAAACCGGAAGTTACTATTTTACCCCCGGTAGTTATTACCATATTTGGAAAACGGCTAGAAGATTTCAAGCAACATCCAACAACTATGAATTCAACGGGTAAAAACATCCAACGGCTAGAAGACTGTGCATGAAAGGAAAGCATTTAATGCACATTAAATGAGCCTGATACGCTGAAGGATTGATTGCAAATGATTGACCAAGGAATCCGGGAAGATATATTATAAAATTAGAAACCTTCCAAAACGGCGGTCAAGTCAACTGTACGCGCATTTAATGCAGTTGTCTCCTCCTCCAACGGGCAGACAACCCCAGTATATAAGCTACTCACCGAAGAACAGGAAAAGTAACTTTGCTACAGCTATTGCTCATCTAACTCAAGCTCTCTTGAGATTCAAATCCTACAAACTTCAACAAGACGAGCTTACGTTGGGAAGATTCTAATATCCTCAATCTCAAATCCCAACACTCAGCAAAGTTCATCCTGCTTCTTCAACACTTCAAGAACTTCAACTACACATCTCTTGTGACGAAGCAAGTTGGAGAAAACTCTGTATTCAGAACATCTTCTGAAAAGAAGGGCGTCCAAGTAACTGCAGCAGTGAAGTGGTGATACTTCCGGGAAGCTGAGTGAAAGGACCAGTCATCAGGAAGCAGGATTGCATCCCGGGTGACATCTAGACTTGAAGAAGACGAGGAGTGCTTCTTAAGTGCTAGGAATTAGCTTTGTAACCGATCTACTTCAAAGCTAGTGGAACAGTGGACTAGAGGAACGAGTTGTTCCTTGAACCACTATAAAAATATCCGGTGTCATTTACTTTACTGCAATTTTTACTTCTGCACTTAGGATATTAACTGATTAACTCTAAGACTTGGAATCTGTGTTCAGCAGATCTTGTTTTCAGAGTTATCAGAAAGGCATCTGCCTTAGTGTTTCTGAGGCTACCCGGACAGATCAGAATCCGCTGCCAAGGCCAGTTCTGATATCAGAACCAGCCTTTCTCTGTCACCAGAATCAGACCTTCTCTGATAAGTCATTTTGGACTTAGAGAAAATTTGAAAAATCAATCAGTCTATTCACCCCCCTCTAGACTGATTACCATATTAAACGGGACCAACAGAGGGCTCCCAGCTACACCCTCGAAAACGGGAGGCTTTACAAAAGATCCTACAACGGCACCCTCCTTCGGTGCCTTCATCAAAATGAGGCCGAAGTCGCCATGGAGGAAGTGCACAATGGCACTTGCTCAGCTCACCAGGGACCCTTCTCCATGTCCCGAAGGCTCATAGTTCAGGGCTACTTCTGGCCCACGATGGCTAGAGATTGTGCTGACCTAGCCCGAAGGTGCACCGCTTGCCAACACTTTCAGAAGGCCCCCGGCAGACCAGCGGTCAACTATGCCCCCATCAGCACCGCTATACCCTTCTCCAGATGGGGGATTGATTTAGTAGGCCCTCTGCCGAGGGGTACCTCCAACAACAGGTATATCATTGTGGCAATTGACTACTTCACCAAGTGGGTAGAGGCTGAGCCCCTCGCCAGCATCACGGAGGCCCGGTGCCGTCACTTCGTCCTCAAGAACATTCTCACAAGGTTTGGTGTCCCCCATCAAATCATCTCCGACAACGGGACTCAATTCGAGGCAGCCCCCTTTTGTGCCCTCCTTGAGGCTTGGGGCATCAAGCACACATTCTCTTCCGTTGCCTACCCTCAGGGCAACGGGCAAGTGGAGAACGCCAACCGAACCCTACTTGAAGGATTGAAGAAAAAGCTGGAAGCCGAAGGGGGAGGATGGGTAGAAGAACTCCACAACATCTTATGGGCTTATCGCACCACCCCTCGGCGCGCAACGGGCGAGACACCCTTCTCCCTGTGCTATGGCTTCGAGGCTAAGGCACCCACGGAGGTTACCCTTCCTACCCGAAGGGTAGAACAATATGAGCCCGAGGTTAACGACGCCAACATGGCTCTCGACCTTCATCTCATATCAGAACGCCGAGAGCAAGCTTTCCTCAGGGCCGAAAATTATAGGAGACAAGTCAAAGGCTACATCGACGCCAAGGTCCGCTCCCGGGAATTCCAGGTGGGAGACTACGTCCTCCGACGAAGGGAGGCCAGTCTACCCGCCGAAGGAGGAAAGATGGCGCCCAAGTTCGAAGGCCCCTACATTGTCTCAGCCATCATCAAACCGGGGACATACAAACTGAAACGCCCTAATGGGACGGAGGTCCCTAGGCATTGGAATGTACACCACCTCGTCAAATTCTATCAGTAAGGCATGAGCGGCCAAGCCCTCATCCTCAGCAAGTGTAAATATCAATGGCCCAAGGCCCCATCTGTTTTTGAAGAATAATCAAAAGGCCAAGCCTTCATCACCTACATATTGTACAAACAGCCCAAGGCCCCCTTTTTTCCTACACATGAGTAGCCAAGCCCTCATCTCTCCACCAAAATAGGCCCAAGGCCTCTCCCTCTGATGAGAGGGAACAACAATTTAGGTACCAAGTACCAAGTGTATGGGTCACCCCCATCACTCTTTGAAAACACCAAGTGTTTTCACGCTAAGCCGTACCCCACGAGGACGCAGTCATGCATACATTATGCATACTTATACATACTCTCTCCTCCTAAAAAAAAAAAAAAAAAAAAACGGGGGGTGCAACACCCCTCGGCTCCGGCTGGTACCAAGTGCCCCCGGCTATTTGTGTTCCACACACAAATAAAAACCCTTCCCAGGAACGCTTTCCGCGCCATCCCCCAAGGGGAGGCAGGCAACGGACCATGTCCCGGGCCCAGGATTCGACTTCCACAAACGAAACGCTCCCCGCGCTATCCCCCAAGGGGAAGCAGGCAACAGACCATGTCTCGGGCTGAGGGGACGACTTTCAAAACCGAGGCGCTTTCCGTGCTATCTCCCAAGGGGAAGCAGGCAACAGACGATGTCTCGGGCCGAGGAAACGACCCTCAAACCCTTCGGGATATCAGAAGGTCATTCCCGAAGGGGGAGCCAACGGTTTGTTCCGTTGCCTCCAATATAGGCCAAGCCTGTCCTAGAAACCAAGTTTCTAGATGCCTCTCCTACACCATCTAAAAAAAAAAAAAAAAAAGAGATGTGTGGGGGGGAAGGAACTCCCCGGATACTATTCTCCCCGGAGGCTCAACACTTCGGATATACATTCCCGAAGGCTCCTACAAAGGCACAAGAAAATCTCGCAAACAACAAGTCATCTGGCCACAAAGCCGAAGGCTTCACGGCGTGAAACTTTGGAGTACAAGAATTCCACCGAAGGCCTAAGAAGAGGGCTTACTATCAAAGCTTCACCTAAATTTAGCTAAGTCCTAAATCTGGCTCGAATCAAAGACACTATGTTACATACCAAAGGCTACACAAAGTTCTAAGGCAAGCTAAATCTATTATCCACACGAACCGGAAGGTTCATGCCGAAGGCAGAATAACACCCGACTCATTCAACAATGGAAAAGTCCACATATTAGCACCCGTGGGAGGTCACTCATCGAGCCGAAGGATGCTCACAATACTTACACTCTGGGTTTCACTCATCACCACAACACCTATTGAAAGTTTGCGAAAAAAGGACTAAGTCCGCAAATGTGGACCCTTCGGGAGGGCAATTCTTCACCTACAGACTCATGGCCGATGGCCTCCCAAACTACTTGGCAGTAGCCAGAAGCTACACTACTAAATGAAGGCTTCCAAGGCTTCCGGCGGTATAGGATGCAATTTCACCTGGGAGAATTCCTAAGTCTAATTCATTTTTCTGCGAACATCCGAAGGGGGTTGATTCTACACTATGACCGGAGGCTCACGGAGAAAGTTCTTAGAAAGTTTTCCAAGTCCACAATCACGAACCCTCCGATGATTCTACTCTACATCCGAAGGGTTCTGATCAAGTTTACTTGGAAAATTTGCTGCTGCCACAACAACAAGCCCCCGAAAATTCTACACTACAACCGGAGGCTTGCTGCGAGGTTACTTGGAAAATTTTTCTAAGTCCACAAACTTGTGGCCCTCGGGAAACTAGACGAAAGAAGGAAAAAGAAATACATAGAGAAGAAAGACATACATTCATCCAAACGAAGGCATACAATAAAATAAAGCCAGGGGCATTCTTTGAAAAAGCCCGAGGGCAAAGCATTCATCACCAGAATCATACAAATACGAAGAATGTTTAGTTTACAATCAGGGCCGAGGCCGACGAACTATTACATGTTTACAATTGGCAAAAAAACTCTAAGATTGTGCATCTTGGGCAGCATCATCCCTCGGCTTGGAAGCAGCGTCATCCTCGACTTCTTCGCCACCGCCTTCACCCATCAGCTCGGAATCCTCTAGGTCCGGCCTTTCTTCTCCCTCGGGAAGGGGGACTCTTACGTCTGGCTGCAGAAGGGGGAGGCCATATGCCGTTGGGTCGAACTTCTTGGGATCAATCTTGAAGTGCCTGGCGAGCCTCCGGTAGATAAGGTTTTGAGTGAAAAACTCTCCACCATCATAGTAATCTTTGCCCTTTCGGGCTAACCATTCGGCACCAGAACCTTTCACCCAGGCATCCACCCCCTGCTCTATGACCGAGGCCACCCATCCTTTCCGGTCTTCGGCCCTCCACCCCTCAGCGGCAAAAGCGGCGATGGCGTTCTTCTCAGCCTCGGCGACAGCTTCCTTCTTGGCTGCCTCGGCCTCCTCGGCGGCAACCTTGGCGGCTTCGGCAGCGGCCCTCTCTGCATCAGCCTTCCCCTCGGCTCTGGCAATCACTTTATTATTTTCGAGGATGCCATTGAATGCCATCTTCTCCAGCCGGAGGGTCTCTTGGGCTTCTTGAAGTTGCCGCCGGGACTCCGCCAGAGCCTCATCAGCCTGACGCTTTTGCGCCTGATATTGCTCCATCCTCTGGAGCAGTTCCCCAAGCCCGAGGGCAGCCTGCGAATCAAAACCGTCAAACAGCAATGGTCAGCTTGGTAAAAATACGCAAAGCCCATCAACTAAACAAAAGTTAAGAGAGAAACTTACAGTAACGGAGGCTTGGAGCACCTTGGCACTAAGGGCATCATCCTTAGCCTTTGAGAGCACCGACTTGTCAGTCGGGGGCGTGGCACCCTTCAGGAACTCCCTCGGGTTGAGGGTGCCATGCATGATGGCAGTTCCCTTGGTGATAGAGAACTGCACATCATCCCGGGGCCAGGCCAGGTTGTTGCCTTGGTCCCCAGGGGGAGGAGGAGCATTTGCTGAGGGGGAGGAGGAAGAGTGCTCTTCAACAATGACAACGGGGGCGTCCGTCTTCTCGGGGGCCCCCTTCTTCTTCTTCTTCTTCTTCTTCTTCTCCGGAGGCATCACGCCCTTGCCGGAGTTTTTCCTCTTTTGCTCCGCCTTGGAGCCCCCGGCACCAGCACCGGTATCAACAGCTTGAGAGGGTCCCTCACCCTCCGGGACCTGAACAGCCCCATCCTTCCGGAAGAAATCATCGACGGGTTTCTGAACCCCCGTCTCCTTCTTCTTCTTCGGCTCCTTGGCCAGCTTCTTCTTCAACGCAGCAAAGTTGGAGACATCCATGCTGATACCTGCAAAAAAGTCAAACCGGAGGGGTCAATTACAAAAGAAGAAAAATAAGAACATGCAAATATCCTAAGTACAATAAAGCAGACCCTTCGGCAACTACCTCCAGTGCTACCGAAGGCTCTCTCGAGGACAGGGTACTGTTCGTCCTTTTCACCCAGGAAACGATACCGCCGGAAGCCGAGGGCCAGCAAATCTTCTGGGAGAGTCGAGTCTTTGACGGTCACGTGCTTTGTGGCCCCCGGCAGCAAAGCAGCAATCTTCTTCCCCTCCCTCTGAAGTACGGCATTTCCAACCTTCGGGTGCCGACGGAAATGGTTGCGCAATTCCCTCGGGAACGGATTTTCCGCCATCTTGATGTAGCAAAAGCGGTCCTTCCATCCTTTGTGGGACGAAGGCACGTCATCAAACAGCCTCCAGGGAGCGAGCTGTTGCAGATTAGCAAACCCCTCGGAGTTGGTGTGGCCCCCTCGGCACAGGTTGAAGCTTTGAAAGAACAAGTCTAGGGTCGCGGTTACCCCCCGAGCCCGGCAAAGCTGAAGGAAGCCAGTTATGTAAGAATGGCTGTTGGGGGTTAGCTGGCAGAGGGCTAACCCCACGTACCTAAGGTACTCGAGAAGGAACGGGTGCAGCGGGAACCGGAGGCCCATGGCAACCGACAGCACATGGACCGCGAAACAACCCTCCGGAGCCCGCAACAGGAGATCATCGGGTCCCGGTTCAATTACAGTCGCCGAAGGGCCGACATGCAACTGCGTGACATAGCATTCTGCCCGATCAGCCTTCGATCTCAGCGCGAGGGCGGCAGTATTCAGCCATGAATGCCCCTCGGGAATTCCAACAGGCTTCCCGCAGTCAACGGCGGTTTGCTTGCCTTTCGGTGGAGCCTTCGTCTTCTTCCTCTTCTTCCCTACTGCAACACTGAGGGGCTCCGGATCTAATGGCCGGGAGGTGCTCGCTTCACCAGAACCGCGAAGGGGGAGGACGGCGACAGTAACTTCTTGCCTCTCCTTCTCCTCCTCTTCTTCCGCTACCTGCAGCGCGAGGGCCATTTCTTCGTCCTCGATCACCTGCTCGAACTCCTCCGCCTCCAGCTCGGTGCGAAGGTTATCTTGGACCTCTTCGGCGACAGCTGAGTCATTATTCGCCGAGGACTGCTCGCTAGAGGACTCCGCATCCGATAAACTTTCTTGCTGTGCCGACGGCTCCCTCGAGATATCTTGTGAGTCGCTTTGCGAAGACATCTCACCCGGGGAAGTTTTGAAAGGATTAAGGAAGAATACTACTCAAGCACTCTAGCCGAAGGCTCCTAGAAGCTCTAAACACTAGATCTAAAGGAATGGAAGCAAAGTATACTTAGGAAGGCAAGAACAATGGAAGAACTAAACTGAGATTCGAAGTTTAGATTGAAATAAGCTTTCTCTCTCTAGAAAACAAAATGCCAGAGCTTCGCTATAACTTAAGATCGCACAGGGAAACTGAGCTCGGCTCTGGAGTATATATAGGCTTTCAGCCTCGAGAACTGGGCCTCGATTTAAAAAGGCCATCATTACGGGCCGCTGGATCAACCAATGGACAGCGCCCGCCCCCCACCAACCAACGGGGGCATGCCACGTCAACTCTTCTTCCAACGGCTATATTACAACGGCTATATTTCGGCGACACTAGGGTGCCCCCGAGTGATAGCCTCCGGCTATCATTCACCACACCCTTCTGCCAGCGAATTCCACCAAACGCCTTCGAGCCCGTAGCAGCATAAGCCTCCAGGCTTATCAATGTTACCAACCCTCGGGAGGTCATCAACTCATCATAACTCCTTCAGCCCGAACTTGCCTTCGGCCTAAAGGAGTGGGGACTGGGATACACCCCTCGGGTACATACTTCAACACCCCCTTCGGCAGAGGTAGAGTATCAAGCTTTTTTCCAAGTCACTTGCGGAAATGAAGCAGCCCTCATCACAACACATGCAGGCAATACACCTATGCTTTCCCCAGAAAGCCCTTGACATGTGAGGGACTGAGGGGAGCCTACGGCGAACATGCGAAGGTTACGAATACCTTCCCTCAGAAAACCCTCGACATGTGAGGGACTGAGGGAAGCCTTCGGCAATCAGCAGAAGACAAAGTTCTCTAGTAAAAGCACCCCACGAAATGATGTAGCCTCCGGGGAGAATGAACACAACTACTCCTTTTCCCTCAAGTACCTTTCGGCAAAAGGAGTGAGGGACTCCTGATGGAGTATATGGCCCAGGAGCCCCCGGCCAATAGACTCCTACTTCTCCCACACAAGTCCATTGAACTCAGAGAACAACTCAGGCCCAAAAACAACGGCCCAAGCCTCACAGTAACCCAGAATACACACTGGGGTGCCTTCGGCCTCCTTGGCCGAAGGCTCCAAAACTCACAGGATAGCCTTCTCTGGCATAAGAGGCTGCTGGGAGGAAACGGGCGAAGACGTGAGCCTTCGGCATTCTCATGCCCTCGGCATCAGGGGAAGCCTTCGGCTGAACCAAGCCTTCGGCTACATCAGAAGCCCTCGGCTACACAGGAGGCCCTCGGCTACACAAGGAGCCTTCGGCTTAACAGGCTCAATCATCGAAGATTCCTTTTAGAGACAGCCAACCACCGCATTTAATGCCACGTCACATCCGCCAACCGCAATCAATACGGTGGACGTACCACTGCCGGTGCCAACCGGCTGATGTGACCCTTCGACCGTTGGATTACTGACACGTGTCCCCTCATCGCATTTATTGCTGCTATAAATAGCAGCCTATTTCTCCTTGTAAAACACGACCTACATCTCACCTCCACATCTCGAGTTCATTTAATAAAATCGACTCTCTCTCCTCCTATTTTGCTCTGACTTCTCTCTAAGTTATTCCCGCAATAACCCCTCGGATAAGATACCCCCCGGGTAGACTATCCATCAGACATACTTCATATCGAAATGGTTATAACATACAAACAATTGAACATTTTACTACGTGAGATGTTAAGGTAAGAGATTATGATATTTGAGTAGAAAATGATGGGTTTTTAGACCTGAACATCATGAGCCATTTTTTAAGGTATAATATAAGCATATAACCCTAGCATAACTATACTTGAAAACACATATCCTACGTCATCAAAACATTCTAAAACATACACCCGGGGCTACGCCCGGGTAAAACACTAGTGTTTGATTATGTTTCTACTTTATAATTAAATTACTTATTTTGATGATCATTATGATATTTGAATAATCATGAGAACTATGTGACTATATTAAGGAGGAAACTACAGATTGAGGAAAAAAAGAAGCTGCATTAAAGACGGGGAGTTCCTATATCCTACACCTGGATGTATGTACATCCGGTCCAATTAAATTAAAAGCCCATTAACAGATACATAAATGTCACTCTCATCAACAATCCTGGTCCGGCAAAACTCCAATAGCTTCCTCCAGGAGAACGGCGGTGGCACCTGCACCGTCAACTCACAGCCTCAATTTCGATTCCTATGACTTCTCCTCATCGCCAACATAATAAGACGGCAAGAGATTGATGGATTCTTTCGCCGGCGGCGTCTCCATGATGCAAAGTAGAATTGGATTTCGGTGGAAGTGTTTTACGATGAAAAAGTAAGATTCGGATCGAAGATCGAAAAACAAATCCACCATTTTTCAAGTTACTTCATACCACACACTGCCATTTTTTGGTTAATAAACATTTGTACTATGTAGCCATTTTTTGGGCAAAAGTCAATAAGTCAATAATTCAAGTTTTTCAATTTTGACTTCTGGGCAATATCCGTGTGTATGTACTATGCAACCACTTTTTTTCTATGACATTTTTATAATTTGAGTGAAAAATCACGGTTTCCGATAAATAAGCAATAATGTACTTTTATTGAGTATTGGTAGGCTAACAATGAGTATCACGATCTCTGCTTCATATCTTCAATTTTTTTCTTTTTCTTTTTTCTTTTATTAAATCTTATTAAATTATATCTATAATCCCCTCTTATTAAATTCAATATGCGAGTCTAATGTTATATGATACTTGTGAAATATGCATTGATATACATTGTAAATTAAACGAGCATAATATCAGTACCAAATGAGCACACATAACTTACAAAGTTCACATTGATATGAAAATCGTAAGGTTTGTTGGTTGAATATCTCGACATTTTAATTGAGCATCAAACATCCAATATTGAGATGAAAATCACAGTTTCTGGTGAATGAGCATTAAAGAACTTTTAATAAGCATCAGACCTATTATGTTGAGTATTAGGATTCTAATATTCAGAATCGTGATCTCTGTTTCATAACTTCTAATTCACTTTCTTTTTTGTTATTTTTTTCTTTAATAAAAACTTATTAAATAATATGTATAACCAACTCATATGAATTTCAATATGTGAATCTAATGTAAAATAGTATTTTTTTTAAAAATGCATTGATATCCATTTAGAAAATGAGCATAACATCAGTACTAAATGAGCATACATACTTACAAAGTGCACATTGATATGAAAATCGTATGTTTGTTAGTTGAACATCACGACATTTTAATTGAGCATCAAATCTTGGCTATTGAGATAAAAATCACGGTTTCTGGTGAATGAGCATTAATGAACCTTTAATGAGCATTGGACCTATTATGTTGAGTATTAGAAGTCTAACATTCAGAATCGTGATCTAAGCTTCGTAACTTTTAATTCACTTTCTTTTTTGCTATTTTTTCTTTTATAAAAACTTATTAAATTATATTTATAATCAACTCCTATGAATTTCAATATGTGAATCTAAAGTAAAATAGTACTTTTAAAAAATGCAATGATATGAACATTTAGAAAATGAGCATAAGATGAATACCGCACGAGCATACGTAACTTACAAAATGCGCATTTATATGAAAATAATAAGATATGTTAGTTGAACATCACGGCATTTTCATTAAACATCAAACATCCTCTATTGAGATCGATGGAAATCACGATTTCTGTT